AACTGTCGACAGGAATGTTTGTTAGAAATGCAAAAGACCTTTGTCCTCAGCTTATCATTGTTCCATACAACTTTGAAGCTTATGAAGAGGTAATACCAGAACTTAAAAGTGTAAAGGATTTATATGTTGCTCTGAGGCTGTCTAACCTTGTTAGTCTATTGCAGGTGGCTGATCACTTTTATGACATCTTACATAAGCATTGTCGAAAAGTTCAGGTGGTCCCAGGCTTCTGTTACTTTGTTGTGTTGCTTTTGTCTATTTATTGTTAATATTATTTCTCCTGAAACTTTAGGCGATAAGCTGTGATGAAGCATTTTTAGATGTCTCGGACTTGGATGATGTCGATCCTGAGATTTTAGCCTCAATGATAAGAAAAGAAGTCTTTGAGACTACTGGATGCAGTGCGAGCGCAGGGATAGGCAGTACTATGCTAATGGCTCGTCTTGCTACTAGAACTGCCAAACCAGCTGGTCAATTTCACATTCCTTCTGATAAGGTACTTACTTCTTAGGAACAACTGAAGTTTAGATGCTTTTGTTTGTTTCTAACTTCTCTATCTTATTCTTAGTTACTGTCTTTGTTTCTGCTTTTTGGGGACTGAAGGAAAATTATTACATAGGGTCTTTTTTGGTGAATCTAGTACTAACCCCTAGATTGTAAATAATTGAGTTGACTGTTCAATACTTACCATTACAACTTGGTTCAGTTTTCTGTTAGATAACTGATAGTTGTTATCTTTAACTAATTTATCAGTCCTGTATCTAGATGTTATGGTACATCTACATGCCAGAACCACGAAATTGGCATTCCCAAAGAAATAAAAGCTGGAGGCATTATCAAAAGATAAAACAGATAAAGATAAGAAAGTTGTGTATTTGCAGAACAGTGATTGTTAGAGAGCAATTCCTTTTGTCGTGTTGTCCTTACTGTTTTGTGGGGTACATGCTTGTCGTCAAATAATCTGATACATGAGAACTTGGATCAACTTCCAGTTGATGCACTTCTAGGTTTTAGTTGAGTTTGGTTCATGGTTTTTGCAGGTGGATGAGTACTTGGATCAACTTCCTGTTGATGTACTTCCTGGTGTAGGTTATGTCTTGAAGGAAAAGCTAAAGAAACATAATATCCAGACCTGCAGCCAATTACGTTTGGTTTCCAAGGTAAAAGGATTTGATAAATATAGATGTATAGGTAGCTTCTCTATTGTGGAAAATGTTATCTTATTGACCATTCATTGTCCAATGACATGTAACGACTAGAAAGTCTGATCGCTTTCCTCTTAATGGGAAAAGAATGCAAACTAAAGATTCTTGTTAAATATGATAGCTCTTTTTTTAGTCTTCCATTAATACAAAATTGAGATAATATTTTCTGGAAACAGTTTCTAACTTTCTTTAGAAAGATTGAAATGCTGACGACAGTTTTATCAACCTACAGAAGCAAACTAACCTATTGGTTTTTGCAGGATTCTCTTCAGAAGGATTTTGGAATGAAAACTGGCGAGATGCTGTGGAGCTATAGTAGAGGACTAGATCATCGGTCAGTTAGGACAGTTCAGGTTTGCCGAACAATTGAATCAATGGTCTTACGTAGTTTTCTTTCTCTATAGTTAATATTGTGGTTCTGAAATTGTGGTCTAACCGTTAATTGTACTACATAACTTCTAGTTTCATCCAAAATCTGTCATACATAATATCCAATTTTGTTTTACCATTTTCCGAAAATGAGCCATGGGGATCTCATCTTTCAGTATAGCATCGGGTTTGCCTGAAGCATGTCTAATATGTGGAGTTTTTATGGACAGGAGAACAAGTCTATAGGTGCTGACGTGAATTGGGGCGTACGGTTTAGGAATCAGCAAGATGTTTGTATTATAGTGAATAATGTTTGTTGTCTTTCATTTACAAACTTAAACTCATTTAATCTCAGCTAAGAGTTTGCTTTGGTTGTTACATCAATCATTACAGATTCAACACTTCCTTCAATGCCTTTGCAAGGAGGTCTCTTTGCGTTTGCAAGGATGTGAAATGCTTGGACGCACTTTCACACTTAAGGTATTATTGTTTCTTCTTTTGATTCGATAACTGCAAAGATTCAGCTTTTATTGATTGATTCTTCAAAGTTTCTTCTGTTGTATTGTAAGCCATGTTTGATTAAGTTAATTCATTGTGAAAATAAAGACTGAAAGTCCATGTTGCCTTTTTAGATAAAAAAGAGGAGAAAAGATGCTGCAGAACCTGCAAAGTACATGGGTTGTGGGGACTGTGACAATCTGAGCCGCTCCATCACGGTGAGTTGGTATCATGGAATCTGATGGGAAAAATATGATTTTACGGTTTTTTTCCTCATGGAACCTTATTTGACGAGCATAAGCAACTGCTATGATTTTGAATGTCTTGCCAGAAAGTAGTCATGATTCATGACCCTCTTCTTGTTATATTGTTTTTGTTGTTGGTCTTATGCATGTAATTAAACCCTTAAAAACACAATAGTTTGATTTTATGTTTGGTGTGATAGGTTCCTGTGACTACCGATGATGTAGAAGTACTTCAGAGGATAGCATGACTCTCTTTCTTGTTATTTTGTTTTTGATGTTGGTCTTATGCACGTTATTTTAAGCCCTTAAAAACCCAATGGATTGATTTTACGGTTGATGTGATAGGTTCCTGTTGCTACCGATGATGTAGAAGTACTTCAGAGGATATCAAAGAAGTTGTTTGGGTCATTTTTCTTGGGTAAGCCGGCTTCTGTTTACCTTGGATATTTTTTTTCATCTCAGATCTCTTTTAACCACTTTGCAGGAAAACTCTTCTTTCCTTTCAGATTTTGTCTCCTACTAAATAGAGAGCTCATTTAAACCTTTAGACTTTAGAATAAGAATTTGCACAAGACTAGCATTTTAGAGGGAACATCATGTCTAATGGATGATGAGTTCAATAACTCTCTAGGTCCTCTTGGACAACATTTTTTGAGCTAAAGAAACTTAAACAACTATTTGAGGAGTCTTATTCTTTTTAGCTCGTGTCTAATCGGATTTATAATCTCTAATACTGCAAAAATAGCTAAATTCTCATCCCCAGGGACAAAAACAGATAGGCCAGCAGGGCTATTTGATGGTGTGGTGGAATCTCACTATTGAATTGATGGCAGCTTTTGCTATCTGTGATTTTGTATTTTGCTATTGTTCTTCTTGTTATATCATTAGTTAGATCTTCTTGCTCAGAAATCTGAATTCTGTCATATTTTTCAACCATTGTCTTTCTGGAGGTAGATGTTAAGGAGATTCGTGGGGTCGGGCTTCAAGTTTCGAAGCTTGAAAGTGTAGATTCCTCTAAAAGAGGTAATTCTACTACATATCTTGGGCTCATATTGGGATTTCTCTTTAGTGATGACGTCCATTTTGCCATTTCAAAATTTGTTTCTCTTCTGAAAATACAATAAGATAATAAGAGTTCTTTAGTTCCCACATTTCATCGTGTCATCTTGTCAGTGGGTAATTTTTGTATCTTCATTGATTTCTAGGTTCAACGAGGACTCTGGAATCATACCTCAGCTTTGTTTCTGCCCAAACTGAACAACGTGTTAACAGTAGAGCTGCTAAAGTTGGAGGTAGCTCAGGTAATATGGAAGCTTTTATCTTCTTGCATTATGTTAAAGCTTCAAGTGGTGGCCCAAAAACACCATTTCTGGCTATATCTGACGATAAACCTCTTGATTTGTTATGAAATTTGCTGTATGATGATTGATGAATGAAGAAGGAAATTACGAATCAGAGAAATGGTAATCTATTCTTACTATAATTTTCAGCCTGTTCTAGGAGTAGGAAATTTTTTAAAGAAGTTTGTTCAGAGTGGGAGTAATGTAAAGCAAAAACCAGCTGCAAATGTCTAAGTCAGGGTAGTTAATCAGATGGGTAAATGAGATATATTGAAACTTGGGTTTGGTTTCTTTCTGCATAAGGAAAGAGTTTGATAAGTTTCAACTGTGTGAAATGGCTTCCTTTTTTTCTTGTAGCAGATTGTGAGAGACATGTGACTGCTGATGATACTCGAGTAGGAGAATCTGATCGAGCAGAATCCTCAATTCAGACGAGTGAAATCCATTCATTTAGTGAGAATCAGGCTTCATCTGTTCCACCATTGTGTCACCTCGACATGGAAGTTCTAGAGAGTCTTCCTTCGGAAGTTGTGGCAGAATTAGATCAAACCTATGGTGGGAAATTAGTCGGGTTGATTGAGAAAAGAAGAGGAAAAGGGAAAACGAAAAGCAATTCTTCACTCGTTTCACTAGATGGTGAGATCTTTTTATTTGCGCTATATGAACAACAAGCAATCTACTTCTCTTCAATGAAATGATTTTTCTTTTCTTTTTCTTTTTTTACTTTGTTCTTACGATGCAGATGTCAAGAGTGCAAACTCTCTACCATCTAAGATGTGCAGCCTAAGTACACACGAAGAAGAGGTAAAGCTTTTGCCTAACCTATGATATTTCGAGTTATATCCATTCAGTTTTCTCTGAATGAACAAGGTTTATCTGTATGACCCAAGAATCTGAGGTTCTCACTGCTAATTGGACATTTTTAAACAGGAATGTGAAGAACCTCGGCAGGGAATCTCTAGTGAACCCACTATCGAAATGGCTGATTTAATGCCTTTATCATTTAGTCAAGTGGACATATCTGTTTTACAAGAACTACCTGAAGATTTGAGAGCTGGTTTACTGGGTGCACTTCCTGCCCACAGGAAGCAACACTCACCTTCAGATACTCCTACCATGGAGACCGAACATGATAAGGAGCCAGTAGAAGTGGGTGAGGCACAGAACGAGATTGGATTCTCGGATAAGAATCTCTGGATTGGGAATCCTCCTATCTGGGTCGAGAAATTCAAAGTTAGTAGTCATCATATATTGAAGAATGTTTCAGAAATGTATTGCAAGTTAGTGGTTCAGTCAAGACCAAAATTATCATCCATCCTGCAGCATGCTATTTTCTCAATCTCAAGTTCATATGACTCAAGTGCCAATGATCTGGAGGAAGCTTTGTACAATGTCTGTGAACTTCTGAGGCAGTATATTAAGCTCAAGATAGAAGGAGATATCGAGGAGATATATCTTTGCTTCCGCCTTTTGAAAAGGTATGTTGATCTACTGTGAACTCGTTCTTACCCCTTCTGTCAGGATTTTTGCTGAAAACTAAGGATACCATTTTCCTTCAGGCTAGCTTTGAGGTGCCAATTTTTCCTGCAAGTCTACGAGATTGTCTCTCCTTTTCTTCAGGTCAGTACAGTTTCCCCGAGCTCTTCTGGGAAAACCCGGTAGTTTCACCATTGGATATTGATCATCTATTATCACTTTTTTTTTTAATTGGAGTTTGCCTTTCGTAGGCTTGTATTGGTGAAAACTATGGTGGAAACTTGAATATATCTTGAAGGAGATATTTCTTCAGCAACAACGATGTTACTATGATTTACTCGGCAGTTTGGTTGGGATCCTGAAGAGCTGGATGGGTTGAACTGGACCTGGTGGTTTGATCTTACCGGAAAACGGGTCTACATTAAGTGGAAGAAGAGATTCTTACGATACCCGTAGAGGCGAGAATGGACAGGTTTATGAACGGTGAATGCAGAGGAGAAAGCATGTGGAATTCTGCCCGGCAGGGGAGCATTTTCGACAATCACATTCTTGCATTAGAAGCCTACAGCAGTACAGGAAGTCGCAGAAAATGGCTTCAACTTCAAGATCGCTTTCATGACAGCAAGATTTGTCGGGATAAAGAGATTCAGAGGTCAGGGGAGCAGATTCAGAAGCCACTGCTGAAGCCTGCGGCCTTGTCTTTTAGCTCATCTCATCATGGTTGTCTTGTCTGGGTGTTAAAAAAACAAAACCACTGTTGTGTGAGGGAATGACCCATTTTCATGACCGACCCTCGTAAATGAAAATGATGAATACAACACGTTGATTTTTGTTCATCCAGTGTTCTACCAAACATCTCAAAGACCCCAACAAAGAGAACAAAAAAAAAAAAACAGAAACCTGAAAGAGAACAAAAACAAGGAAAAAAAAAAAAAAAAGGCAAGCATGGTTTCATCACAACATGCTTTCAGCTCTTGAAGGCAGCCTCCTGAAGAAGTTCTGAGGCATCGAAGGAATATCGATGATCCGAAGCCTCGGATGCCTCATAGCGTAAAACCCGATCGACGTGATCAGCAAGTTCATAGGCACAGTGAAGATAACTCCACAAAGGACAGTACAGAACACCAAGAACAGAACTGTTGCCCTTGGATCTCTCCAAGTCAACAAGTTTCCAACTCTCTCGCCTTGCGTAGCTAAGTCTCCTAACACCATCATGGTCTTCCCTGCAATCCCTCTTAACCTATCATACCTCTTCTTCAACACATCCCCGGATTTCGAGCTGGGGAAAGTGTCGAACTCCTCGTCCAGCTCATCGGGTAATGCAGAATCGGCTCTGGACAACCTTATATCCATGTGGGGAGGGTGTCTTGGTCTCAAGCGGTATCTGTACAGCCCGTTCACGACGCAGTACAAGAGCACAGCGGCGATGAATTTATTCGGGAGGAAAGATATGATCAAGAATGCGAAATGGGTAAGCAGAGTTTTCGTAGGACTGTTCCATTTGCAGATCCCGTCAAACCAGTTCCAGGCATAGATCAAGGCGTTGAAGAAGGAAAGAAGGCGCTCGAAATTCGCTCTTCCCCTTCTGGAACTCCACATGTTCGATCCGACATCGAGCATGTACTCGACAACTTCTTTCCCGATGGGCGGTTCGTTCCTGCCTAGCCTTATGCAGAGAATGTGAGTCGCTTGGCTCCTGAGGCTGTCCAGTTGGTAGATAGACAGAGGATTTGTGTAATGCATCTGAGGTAATAATGGTTCGGCGTATTTCTGAAGCATATCGATCATCGATCCGCAGGTGAATCTCACAGCGAGTTGGATCTCTCCCATCTTCTTCACTCCATCTGGTTTCAGAACCACGAGCGGGTAAGAATGTGTGTATACCCTCGACGTTTCGAGCGTCGAGAGACGCATCCTGATCTTCCCGATTCTCGAATCTCTCATAGAGCCACAGTTATTCGCAGGTAACAGGTGGAGATTATCAAAGACTCCTATGGTTATGACAGTGTAAGGATCGTATACCTCCCATGTGTACTGCTCATTCCATTTTGGGGAGAAACTGTCGACGATCGTCCTCGTCCTCACCCACTTCTGCCCGTATTTGGCGACACAATATGCGTCTGTGATTCCACGCCCATCCCGTGATTTCATCGGCATCAAACCAGAGGCACTGAGGATCCCAAGCTCCAACACACCAATGACTGGTGTCCATAACAGCTTGGCTGAAGCTCTGTAATCACTGCTATACTGAATAGATTCATCAAGAACATGGTACCCTCCATCTAAAGAAACTCTAAGATGAATCCTACCAGCGAATCTCCTGGTTTGATCGGTCTCTATGTGCTCGATGTTGTACCATGACGCCATTACAGGACCTGGAAATACCCTCCTCTCGACCTGCGATAACCTTATCTCGCATTTCCCTAAGCACTCTTCTCTGTTCCCTACCTTGTCTTCCACACTGAGGACTAGCGTCTCCTCGAATGGCTCAACCGCCACGAACATCATATCCTCGTTCCAGATGGGATTCAGGCTTCTGACCTGTGAGAATCGGCTCCTGAGAAGGACGTTTCCGAGAAACCCTTTTATGAACAACTCTGGATTTGTCCTGTTCCGATGAAGGGGAACAAGATCTTGAGCTTCGATGATGTTCACCCGTAAGTACCAAAGCCTTGGAGATAGATACACTTTCGAACGAGTGTTCACAACGTTTTCGCCTGTGATTGTTGCGGAATCCGAATGCCAAGCTTCGGGAAAAACCTCGTCGGCCTGAGTTCCGATCCAGACAGACAACATGATCTCGCCATGGATCTTGTTCCCGTCTCTGTCTTCCAGTTTGTACCACTGCGGAGCCAATGGACTGTCGGGAGGAACACGGGTCGGAACCTCTGCAACATCGAACTTACACTTGCCGAGAATCTCGTCGTTCTTTCGGACAGCGACTTCTAAGATATTCCCTTGAAGGCGATCGTTTGTGAAGGCGAAGGCCTCGTGGAAATCAGGGTTAGGGCTCTGGTTAGAGCTCTGTTTTGTTCTTCCTTTGTAGGCTCCGATGCTGACTTCGACGAATGAGTCACAGGTGGGTAAGCCACGGGCTCTGACGATGCGTACGTAGAGGAATTGCATGCGCTCGACCAGGTCAAAGGATGACGTCAGCCTCTCGCCGGAGATGGCTCTTCCGGCGCCGATGTCGGGGGATGTCTCTTTCAGGGAGAAGTCGCCGCCGCCGCCGCCGTTATCCGCCATTGTCGTACTCGCTGAAGAAAGAGACTGTTAAGTTACATCAACCAAACCGGAAAACAGACATAATCTAGCTCGAAGATATCAGTAATGAACAGGAGATGGACTGTTTCTTAAACATTTGGAATTTGAGAATCGGGGAGATTCACGTACCAGGAAGGAAGATGATGAAGGTTAACGGTTCACTTCTTTTTGAAATCTTGATCCCTGAGATTAGGAGATAATCCTGGGAAATTAGAATAAGTTCAAAAGATACACAAAGATAATAAGAGAGAAATACAAATTATTCTCTTAATTAAGCAATAATTAAATGACTAATTAATAATTTTTATGGAATTATCGCTCTTTCTATATTTAAAAAGATACCGAATCGTTTTTCAGGTAACCGACCGTTTGTAGATTTTTTTTTTTTTTGCAGAAAACGATTTCAAAATCATTTTTTTTTTCTCACATTATCAAAAACAAATTATTTTCACTAACTAATCCTAATTCTTCGGGACGTTACCAAATCCTTTCTCATGCATGCATGCATGCACGCACGTACGTTCATTGAAAGGGAATCCGATACCATTAATGTTTAATTAAATTATTTGTTATGTACAAATCCCAATAAATTACAAAACCAGAACAGAACAGAAACTACGAATAAATATACATACACTAGTAATAATGAGTTCTTCTCCCACCTCAGTTTCCGAACTCTTACATCACATCTGAGACTCCAGAAACGTCAAGACCGCCAAACCGGCGGCTCCGACATCATCGTCCAACACATATTCCGCCGGAGAATGACTTATTCCTCCGCGGCACCGCACGAACCACATACCCACCTGCCGGAAAATCCCCACCGACGAAGTAGATTAGTCTAGTCTTTGGCTATATAAACAGGCATGACCTTTGACTAGCGTGTTTCCATCATACGGAACAGTAAAAATCCTAGAACAAATGCGATATCTTAAACGATATCTATCGCAGTTTCCCTGTATGAATTCCAATCAGACACCGGCGTCTTGCATTCCTGTTATCAGTCCAGCTTCAAGAGAAAAGGAAACTTGGCATAGTGTAACACATCTTGGTTCACTGGTGAATAGAGGAGGAAACCTTTCCATATATTATTCATATTCGTATTCCTCGTGGAACCGTTATTTCTCCGATGCTGATGTAGTTTTTCTTTTAAAATTAGCTGTGAAGCAATGGAAATCTCCCCTGGTGGTGGGATCTTAAGTCTACGTTTGAGTGCAAGAAAGCGGATGGAGAGGAATATTAGTCATACCTTGGTTAGATGCGACATGGCCATTGCATCATGTCCAGCTCCGCTCATTAGCGTGGGGATTTCTTCTTGATTCTCCCCTGTCATTCTCTTCAAGGCAATCTGAGCTGCTGATTTCAGCTGTGAAGTCAGATCTGGGTCGGATATTACTGCATTCGCGTCGTGCTGTAATAATAAAAAGTGGAAGATTCAGAAGTTAGAAAAAAAAAACCAGAAACCTTCCCCATCCAAGAACTCGAGGAGAACAGTAAGGTTTCAACCCTCTTTACCTTGCGTTCAATGGAGCATAACAGAGATCGTTTATCGCATATCTGGTACACCCTAGTTGACAACTCCTGCAGAATAGTTTCCCGTCCTACATCATCTATGGTACGTAAATCCACAGTGAACATTACCTGATTTCATAGACCCCATCTCACCAAAATCATTCAAAGTTTATCAAAACCAGATGGATGATTAGAAACAACAGTGGAAAAGAGATTGATTTTATTGCCTGGCCTGGGATGACATTACTAACACTCGGCCACGTCGAGATTTCTCCAACAGTGCAGACAAGCGAACTGGCAAGAGATTCTACCATGTCCCCATTGCATAAACCACCGTCACAAGATAAGTAATCTTTAGGGTATTTGCAAACACTTTCAAGAAGTAGAATCAGTTCTGCTGAACCGGACATAGGGTCCTTCCGCAAAGACATTGGAACTGTTCCAGCATGTCCCTGAGAACCTTTTACAGTAACCTGCAGAATTCTGTTCCCATTGGGTTTCATATAGTCTTCTCCAAGATTACAACATGTACTCGGGTATTCAAAGCGGTACCTTCAGTCTCGTCTGACCTGCGATGCCTTTCACTACCCCGAGAGGATAACCGACCCATTCCAGAACAGGGCCTTGCTCTATGTGAATCTGCAGCAGAAGCACACTCATCATTATCATACCACAAAAAAAATACATTATGCGGAAAAAGGAATGCTCTAGCTCCTTAGGTAAAGTGCAAGTTCATCGAGGAGACGGATGTGAGCTAACATTTGTGAGACAAGATGACATGAAGGCTTGGTTTACCTCTACATAGCCCCAAACAGATGATGGATCGTACTTCAGCTGCAAAAGACTTTCCTGAGTTATGTCAATGGAGTTCTCTCTAAGAGCATCTTTCAAGGTGACTCCACTAATTGAATGTAAAGAAGGATAAGTCAGTAAAAATAATTCAATCTACAGATGGGGAAGAAACCGAGGTTCCTGAAGAAAACCTTTTGTCAGAGATCTCCAGGCCAGAGACTGGCATGATACCAGCCAAAGCAGCACTCCCTAGGAATGTAGACTGAAACCTCACTCCCTCCTCATCACTAAACGCAATCACCTGCAAAGTTAGATTTACAGATTTATCTTAATGAAATCTGTAGCAGAAATTTTAAATATGTAAACTATCTCACTCCGTTAGAGGTATAAACTAAGTTAATTTCATCACTAGCTCTTAACTTCATGCAATATATTACTTGACGAACCTCAACAGGCCGTTTTAATCCTCCCAATCTGCCATTGACTTTCAGAACCTTCAGCGCGTTATGCCCAATGAGCCATCATATTTACCAGCATCAACAACTGTATCCTGTTTAAACAAGCAAGCATCAACCATTTCAGGCATTACAACCTCATGTAAGATCACAATACAAGCGAAATAAGTTGGTTGTAAAAGAACAGAGGAACAATGAGGCACCAGAAAAGAACAAATGAAGGGTGATGATGGTGGTGGTGGTGGATGAAGGGATAAGATCTGGGAGAAGGAGGAACCGTCGCCATGGCTGGAGAAAGCTTGCGACAACTTATTTCGCTTGTATTGTGATCTTACATGAGGAGGTAATGCCTGAAATGGTTGATGCTTGCTTGTTTAACATCCAACTTATTTCCGTACTGGAGAAGAGAAGGTTCTCCGGGAGAGATCCATTGCCATCATGCCATGATCACGTCTTCTCGATTTTTTTTCCACTTGGGGACTTAAGTCTGCAGGTTCCTCGTCTAGAGCGAAATGTTCCATAACCGGAAGCAACAAGCTCAGCATACGAATACCGGTTTGGAAATTGAGGCACATAAACCGGTTACCAGCTTCCTAATTTGCTTACCGGGACCGAATTTTCCAGCCGTTGCAACCCACATATTGACCGGACTATGTAAAAGACTTCGGTAACTTCATTCTCTTGCACAAACTTTACACCCAAAAAAACAAGAAAATAAAAGTTATACTGCTCTTCTTCTAATACATGTACTGCTTCTTCACCCATTTGCACCATTTATACCTACAAAACGTCTAACATAAACACGGTTTTTGTTCCCGGAAATCAGACCCGAATCATGAACAGAACAAAAACAATGCTGGGATTTTCAATGTGGTTTGATCTTAAAGCTTCACTCTTCACTTGGATGGTTGTCAGAGACAGTCCCCTCAGATGACATTTCTTCATTTGTTTTCACACGTTCTTCTTCCTCCACGTCTAGCTGTTCAACCTTTGTGGGCTCAGGAAGTATCTCCTTCAACTCGTCCTCCGAAACTCGTTCCTCTTGCCTCTCTTTCAGAAGATCATCAGAAGGAAGCAGTTGTTTCCCGGGCTCGCTCTTCTCACCATCTTCTGGGTCTGCAGGTCCATGTTGGTTGGTAGATTCTGGAACTAACCTTTTGATCTCTGGTGAGCTTGAGCCTGTCATGCCAGTAGCTGCTTGGAAACTCGCTCTTGGCACTAGTGATGATGCTAATAAGGGAACAGCTTCAACCAATGGTGATATGTTTACCAAAGAGGAAGATGATTCCGCATTGTTCAGGCAGGGAGGAGGTAAGTCAGGCTGAGCAGACCCTGAAGTACCGTCAAGTGACTGAGATAGCTGAGCCAAAGGAACAGAGGAAGATGAGGGATTGCCAAGAGATCCACTTTGCACATTGCGGCTGCTACTGGCAATATCTTTAGGCATCTGAGCCGGCCCATGTGATGATCTACGTTTCTTTTCCTTCCGTAAACTATGTCTCGGGTCCTTGGGGGCAGAGGGAGGAGGCTCTGGTATCACGAAGGGTGGGATGGTGGTAGAATCTTTACCATATAGGACACGGACTGATTGAGCTATTGCTGACACTGATGGAGGTAGACTGGGTTCTGGTGACTTAAGAGGGGCACTTACAGCATCTCGCAGCCAATGAGGTAACTTATTCTCTGACGAGCTACTTCCAACGTCTTTCCCCTTCAGAACGGAGAGATTCAACACTGGATTTTGATCAGGCAAAAACCCTGGGCTGGCAGATTTCCCCAGGAACATATGACTGCTGGAGTCAGGCATTGGAGGTAATGGCCTATCTAGAAAACATGGCAGTTTTCCACGCTTAATGGCATCTCGTTCTTCTGTTCTTTGTGCGCTGAAAGAGCTTAAACTATTCAAGCCTAGGGAGCCTAAATTGCCGATCCCAAGAGAGTTGAGCGGGAACCCCCTCTCGTTGGGAATATTTACCGATGGTCCTGGTCTTTCAGATGGCCCAGCAGAAGAATCTCCAGCAAGACTCTCAGATCGCAGCATCATAGGGGGAAAAGGCTCACCTCGCAACCCCAAATGATCTGATGGCTCATATAAGGGAAGGGTGGAAGCTAGATCACTTAATCCGAGTTTCATGTCAGTCAAATGGGAGTGGAACCTTGGAGGATTAACGAACTTTGCTCCATGTAAGGCCCGAGACATCATACCCTCCGGAATACCAGGAAACAATGAAGATCTGGTAGATTTTGCTGGCTTGCTCGATTTTGAAGGCAGAGAAGAAAGATTATCCAAAAATTTACGCTGCTCTTCCTCCCACCTTGCTGCTAGGTACTCGGGTGTTTTAAATTTTGAGAATTTTAATCTTTGGTCTCTCAGCATAATCTCCCAATTTCCATACCCATGTCTGCGAACCCCGATCCAGAGAGAATCGAGTTCATCCTCAGACCATGCATCTACTCTTGTTTTCTTCTTCTGAAAGTGACCAACCGCAGAGCCTGTTCTCAACATTATATTCTCCAGAACCTTCCTGTGGTTATCCGGAATAGACGAAAGTACTGAAGGCAACTGATCCAATCCCAAAGGAGGGAACTCTTTCTTTTGCTGGTTGAAGACTGGTGGATCCAATGGCGGGATTTTCAAATTGGGTAGGAACGGCATCGGTGGTATGGCTGGCATGTCTTGCATTGAGTTTCCAACACCTTCAAATCTATTCCCCAGTGAAAGGTTGGGTAACAAATCTTGCTGAGAAGTTCCCATGGTTTTGGGATCATGTGGAAATGGAAATCGAGGAAGTAGTTTGCCTTCAAAAGGTAGGTAAGGAAACGGAAATTTCTCCTGGAAATCAGCAAAATCAGCACCAGAACTTTGCAGACGATCAGAATCCCCTGGCAGAGGAACTAGAGGGAACTGCAAGGGAAATAAATTGTTAAACCATTAATTCATATTTCTGTAATTGTGTATGGAATCACATTAAATGGAGGGAGAGGATACCGGACGAAGTGGAAGCCAATCATACAGATTATTGTTTCCAGGTGGCTGCTGAGGAGCTTCCTCTTGCATGTCGTGCGGCTTCAATCTACCCAAGGTGGGATCCTGCTCATTAAGTTCTCTATCAACTGAGAGTGACCGCTCCGAGATTGGGGGCAAACTGAAAGGGAACTCCGGTCCTCTCAGCGTTCTGCTCTTTCTGCCACTTGACCTTGAATAAATTCTCCTTTGGAATTCAGGTTGATTGAAATTAGGAGCACACAGTCCCAGAACTGGGAGATTGTTGGGTGGATAGACTAAATCGTGATAATCTGGAGTATGGTCTGAAGAACTGTCAATTTTGAGATTGATCAGATTGTCTAGACTTGGGTTTGAGGTAGGTGTTCTTTTTAGTGCATCAGTTTGTTGAGCAGCTTCGCCATCTTCCAAGTCAATCATGTGAGAATTTTCTTGGACTTGTTTAGCTGCTTCAGGATGTAACTCGGGTCCCTGCAATGTGCTGCTAGGAAAAGACTCTTCAATCGCATTCCTTTCAGATAGCCGCTTCTTTTGCCTTGCTCGCAGCCTAGCACTAATTAGCAAAACAATGATATACACATCAAGATCTTGAGAAGGGTTTTATTTTACAGGCAATTGGACATAACTAATCAGATGCTTCAACAAGACCCAAAGAAACCTCGAAACAGGAAGATCCTCCAAATGTTAAAGAAATTCATTTTCTTCCGGTCGTTGGACGCATAAACTATTTCAGCAAAAGCAAATAAACTCATAAGGGAAGCAAGACAATAAACCGTATGCAATAATAAATCACAGGAGAAAATAAAATTTGTCAGATACATGCAAAAAGAACAGACAACTTCCACCTTCTCTGTAGTTAATCATTCGCATCAACACCAGTGCCACTATTAGCAGACTCAGCAGTAGAAATCCATATTTATTCCATTGCATATTTTTCTAAAGTAAGCATATACAGGAAAATAAGTAGACAGCGGTGACTTCAACTTACAACTTTTCTTTCAGAGCTCGTCCGGCAGGTGTGTACTCCTTCTTGGGCCCTGGTTCTGGCTCTTTCTCTTCTTCACCGCCGCTCTGCAAAGTTATAGGACAACTATAATAAACACGAAGAGGGTATCCATAGTCACAAACAAGATGCTTCCAGGAGTATGAGAAAATGGGTACCTCGCTCAATGCTTGAACGGGATGAGGGGCATACGCTTCTCTATAAGAAACAGCTTTTCTCAGGCGCTTCCCTCTGCCAAGTGCTGCTTCTTCCTCGCTTTGATACTTCTCCCATCTACGCATACAGTGGTTAAAATAAAAACCAGTTAAACAAGAAGCAAAAGCAAGGACTACCAGTTCAGCCAAAGTCATTTGACTCTGAAATTTAATAATGAGAAACATTTAATAAACCACTGGTATGCAAGGAATTGTACATCTAACAGAACCGATAATGCATTGTCATCATTGCACAACTCCAGATATGCTTCCCAGCAAAGAGATATGTTTATAAAGTATCTCGAATTCTTCAATTGAATGTTAAAGAATTCTCACCTTACACGCAGAAGCCTGTCCCATTCATTTTCTTCAGTAACATTCACCATATCATCCTCTTTCCTCTCTGAACTCTGTGCACCAGTGTCATCAGTCATAAGTGCAGGTGATTCAGCTCCACCTTGCTCTTCAGCTGCTTCCTCAATCCATTCCACTGGCTGCTTAAAAAGAAATCAATATTTAAACCATAACAATGTAAGCAATTACTGGCTATTTGGAGGTAGAAAATAGCAATGAAAAGAATCACACTAAAAGTATCCTTCTCTTAATGATAAACCAACCACAAGCAACCCTCAAGTCATAGAATATCAAAAACTGTAAATTCTTTTGCAACCAATTTGAGAAGCAAGCACATTCTGTCCTGCATGTACATCTGATTAAATCTGTCTGATTGTTCCCTATTTAATCAGTTAGTATTATGCTATCTATAATCTCCAAAAGTCGGCTTCTGTAAGAGATTTCAAAAACAAATGTTCACCAATAACTTGCATCAGTAGTATATCAAATTATAACACTGCATACCAGTATATTTGCTCAAGTGCTATCCATTAAGCAAGACGAGCATATGGACATGACCTCACCTTTACTGAGCCAAGCATATCATTCTCCAAATCTGTATCAGCGCTGTCACTGGAACCTGATTGAAGGTTTGACCGGTCAAGCAACTTCATAATTGCATTTTCATCCCACACTATCCTCCCAGTACCATCTGTACATTTGTCCTGGTAAACATCTCCCAAGCCACCACCCTTTTTCCTGTTCTTGCCTTCTAAATCTATTATGACGCCCACTTCTCCGTTACTTTCACATGTATCTTTCTTATGCTCACTCAGAGGATTGTTGAAAAGCTCTTCAGTTCCCCAGCGTAGAATATCTTCAACTTCCTTTTGTGATCCAGACTTGTTTACAAAAAGCTGATCCAGCATCAACTTCTTCTTTGCCAGCTGTAGAATGCGCTCTTCCACACTGGCACGCACAACAAGCCTATAAACCAAAAGGCGCTTCGATTGCCCAATTCGATGAGCTCTATTCATAGCTTGGATATCAGCATGAGGGTTGAAATCAGAATCATAGATAATGACAGTATCAGCTGTTGCCAAATTGATACCAAGACCACAGGCGCGTGTGGATAACAGAAAAACAAACCGACTTTTGTCTTGGTTAAAACGGGCTATGGCAATCTGGCGATCAGCTACAGAAACAGAACCATCCACTCTTTCATATGTTTTAGGGCCGAACTCTACATTCATGTAATCTTCCAGAATGTCAAGAAGCTTTGTCATCTGTGAGAATATCAGAACTCTATGCCCTTCGTTCCGTAGCTCCTTAAGCATGGAATGCAACAGAGTCAACTTAGCTGAAGCTTTTATCCTCATCTCATGAAGAAACTCCATTGATCCAGATTCTGGCTCAGTGCCTGGTATGAGATATGGGTGATTGCACACCTTCCTCAACTGCATCACAATGTTCAGCATTGATTGCTGAGCCACCCCCTTTCCAATATTCCGTAGTATCTGATAGTTCTTAGTTAGCATTGCACGATAATATTCAGCCTGGATTGAAGTCAACTCAACCGGCACCATCCTCTCTGTCTTTGGTGGAATATTTTGCATGGCATCTTTTTTAAGCCGCCGAAGCATATGTGGAGCAACAAGTTTCTTCAGTTCCTCTACTTTCTGAGCAGTTGTTAGATCATGAAACTTTTCTTCAAAAGAAGATAAAGAAGGAAATGATGATGGTTGCAAGAAGTTGAGAAGATTATACATCTCACCAATGTTGTTCTGAAGAGGCGTTCCTGTCAAAAGCACGCGATGCTCGAAGGAAAATGTATTGAGCAAGCTAAACAGCTTACTTTCTGAATTCTTTAGACGATGCCCTTCATCAACAAGAAGGACTTCCCATGGAACTCCACGGAGATGAGATGAATCAGCTAGAACCATTTCATAAGTAGTTAAGAGGACATTAAATTTGTAGGAACTTGTTCTCTTATTTGCCCCCTTAGAATCCTTGGACTGCCACTCATATTCACGAATTATGGCTCTTGCTTTTGCCCCACCATGATACTCCACAACATTTAGGAACGGTGCCCAAAGAGAAAACTCTGAAAGCCAGTTTGGCATTGTTGATAGCGGAACCAAAACTAAGCAAGGCCTTGCAACTTTAAATTCAAAATAAAGTGACGAAAGAAATGCACAGGCAGACACAGTTTTCCCGAGCCCCATTTCATCAGCAAGGATCACATTTTTGGATTTATACCAGCATTTACGCAACCAATTCAGGGCCTCGAGTTGATGAGGAAACAAGGCACCCCCTTTGAGTTCCGCAGGTTGTTCTGTAAGGGTAGCAATCTCGCTATGCTGACCCTCACCCCTTTCTCTTGGCGAATGATCCTTGGCAACAGCTTTTTCCAATGTTTTCTGCTCAAACTGCTCAAAGAGATCTATTAAATGGGACGACTTCTTAAGAACAGGCTCCTCCAAGCTTTCCCATGTGCATTCATCATAAGCAAGTCCTGTCCATTTTACATAAGCTTCGCGTTCACCATCTTTTGAAACACGCAGAGCAATTACACGCTGAGGCTGTTTCCATCTGTCCTCACAGATATTTATAATGGTGGTTCCATACTTTGATTTGTAATTCTCTAGCTTTCTTTTAGCGAGAACTTTCAGGTCTGATTCAGAAATCCAATTGTTATGAATATGAGATTTTCCCATCCACTTAACTAGAAACTCATAAGATACGGCCTCTTCACTATGGCATGAAGTTTTCGCAGCAATAGGCTCCTTAACTTTTTCCTCAGATACTGTATCATTTTCTCCCATGTCCTGATGTGCTTCTTTAAGTGTCACATGTGTTTCACTAACTTTTATTTCTTCATTCTCCTCATGTGTACTCAGAGTTACATCAGCATTGTCCTCCGAAAGCATCTTTTGTTTCCCCTCAATCAAATTGCCAGAAACTACAGAAGATTCATCGATATCGTTATCCTCCATAGGTGAATCCTTGTTATTTTCATCTGTACAATCAGCATTTCTAGTGCATGCTTCATCCATGGAATATTCACCTGTCTCAGAACACAAGTCCATTCTATTTTCAGCAATTCTTTCGTCTACTTTAGCATCTTCTGCGAAGCCTTCCTCTGGCTGCTTATCCTGGTCCTCACTACCTTGTAAATTATCAGGATACCGAACATCTGAAAGAGCACCATAACAAGAGAATGTATTCTGTCCCCGGATACGGCATCCCAGAACTCTATCGACCTGTTGAAAGCCAACAAAGAGAAAAAAGAAAAAAAGAAAAGCATCACTAAGCAACAAGCAACACATAAGTCAACTGAAACAGAACAAGCATAGATAATGCAAGATATTCTGAAAGAACACTAGGAACTTTATGATGGCAACAACAAGGATATTCATTACCTGAAGAGAGTTTTTGTCATCCATGAAACTCGAGGGTTTTTCTGTTTTACATGATGCCCAATTTTCCTCCTTGAGACACTTCTGCATGATTAACAAGTTTATCTAAATTAGTACGCATAATTAACGAAAATCAGCATAAGAACAAATGAAGATAGAGGATAGGATTTAAGTTTTCTTTCCCACATGAGGCCTGTTAGATATATCTACCCAATTTGATTACTTCACAATTCTCTTCTTAAAAGTTACAGAGAATAAGCCATCAATTATTGCCGTGACAGGTTAGCTACTTCCAGAAACGCAAGCAAACTTACGATCTCATGCAATGGAACAAAAGTATGGGTTAAATATTTCAGAGTCCAGGGAATTGCATAGTAAATTACTGTCACTTCCACGTAATGACAAGTGAAACTATTGAGTTCAGATAGGAAAATCAAAGATATCAGATGGAACAAACGTTAGGATGAACTAAATGTCACGATGCTTGGATCCGTATACAGTACAAATTCATGACAATAACAACCAAGATTCTTTTAATTAATCCTAAAGATATTCAAATAAGTAAAGGTTATCGGAGAAACAAACAAGAACCACTTATGGAGATTCTTATTACACAACAATTTCTGAAAAATTTTGATATCATTATTTGCTTCAGCACACACTCGTTAAGTTATAAGGAACTCAAGAAGATGTGGAAAGAGGATATTATTCTTACATGAATCATCAGTGCAACAGAACCATACCTCAGCTTTCCCTTGTGTGTCTATACTGGATAGGTCTTTGGACAGAGACCTTAACACCAGACGGTTTATGATTTTCTTCTTTTTGGATGATTTACTAGATCCTGTATTTACATCACCCATTTTGGGCAAACTTGTCTTGCAAATGTTAGCAGTGCGCCTTCCGTTATCTGTCTTGCACTTCTTGAGACTGTCCTTGTTATTGCTTTGATGCTTTCGCTTTTTCCCTTTGCTCTTTCCATCCACCACCGAAACATCGTTCTTGTTTTCTGCAATCTCATTACAAGCCAGTTCGAGCTTCTCCTCAGATGCTTCACCATTCCTCTCTGGATTGGTATTAAGTTTAGATTCAGAAAGATCATCAGTAGCCAATGATGATTTCATCTCAGAAGGATGATCCGCAGGTATTAGGTCTGATTTCCTTAGATCATCTACTCTATGACAGGATGTATCTGATTGGCCATCCTTGGACGTAAGATCGAGTTCAGCTGCAGAACACCCATCCATCAGGGAGGGGCCAACTTCCTTTTCCAAGGATTTGCTTCCCTCGGCCAAAACAGATTTTCCTTTCGTTGAAGATTGTTCTCTTGAAATAACGGAACTAGAAAAAGTTGGGGATGCTTTCTCACACCCAGACGACTTTAATCCTGCTTGTGAATTTTTCTTGACGGTCTTGGTCCTCGTCCGCTTTGCAATTGCATCTAGGCAATTGGTAGGCTTGAGTGCATCATTCTTCTGGGAGCATTCCGGGCATATCCACTTCCCATTCGGGATTTTCTAAAGAAGAAAATATAAGTAAAATAAATTCCCAAATTCGCTATTGCAAATCTACCACTTTTAACAGCACATAAATTATTTACCTTAAGAGGGGGTTTGAGGCAATCGATATGATAGGTCCGAGGACAACTATCACAGCAGAGTAAATCGCCACCAAGGTCGCAAATCACACATTCAAAGTAGTACTGGAAACAGAAGAGAAGTGAATACCATAAATCAAATATGAAAAATGACACCCTGAAATAATGTCATAAGGGAAAAAGCCTTCAGAACAACACCAACAAAGAAAATAGTAAATGGGGAATATAAAGTTACCCCATCATTTCCTTTCTTTTTAGAAAAGGACCTTTCAAGTGTTGCTTCAGCTCTAAGTCTGCGCTTTGACGATTTAGCTGGAGAAGTAAATCTCAGAGACTTTGCGGTCACCGAAGTATCTTCTTTGCTATTAGATAAATCCGGACCACATGGAAGTTTTCTCCGTTTCCGCTTCATGACCCAATCTCTATTAATCATTTCACAGCTTGATGAACAGTTATCTTTCATTTTTTACTCTATGTTCTCATATTATCTGCCTTGCCCCAATATTACAACTAGATCTTTGCGTATAAGTTGATGTGTAAACTCTATACAAAAGCGACCTCGCCACAAGAATGCCACAGTCGAATGCCCTATTTCCATCAAAGGAATTGTTAATCAGAAAGCAACATAGAGAAAAAGGAAGCAAATTACAACAAGTACGACACACCAGATTTTGGGCTTCTGCAAACTGATAAGATGAGTGTCTCTGAGTTAGTATTCTAGTTATCCCACATGAAGATCACAGCTACAAATATACTAACAAAAACCAGGCATCACAAGTTAACCTCTACATGCAATTTTTAAGGAAGAAACATACGCTGTAAAATTAAATTCTCGATGACATGATAGCAACTGCTCCATAGTGGTGGTTAGATGTAGGCATCCTCAGAAATATTGGACAAAAAAGTGCTGAGGAAAAACAAGGCGAATACTCAAACTAAATAAGAAATGTAAAAAAAAAAAGAAGCAACATTATAGA